CTCGTAAATTATTCACGAGGTACAAATGTTATCAGCCTTTTAATTGGGCTTTATCAGATTACAGATGTAAGTCACAAGGGGCCTGCTTCACAAGCTAGTTTTATCATTTATCAACATGGTTGTTTATTGAAAGAAAGAATAGTTATTATGACTGGATCCAAGTCATGTGACGTAGTATAAAGATAGATAAACTCTTTAAGGGGTTATGGTTAGGAACGGGCAACCACTATCTTCCCCTAAACCTAACCAATCCTTTTTGTTGACAAAACCTAATGATGTTGGTTTGTCCAAGACGTTGTATTTCATTACATGTTTATTGTAACCCTCCTGTTGTCTTCGTTTCCCCCCCTTACTTTGGTGTTCGCGGTCAAATTTGACCGGTCCTGTTTTAACTGCTATTACATTAACACAAAAACCATTAATCATCACCAAATTTCATTTAACACCCTTTCAAACTGTACATATTGTATCAGACTACTGGTATACATGAAACACTGCAGTAAATATACAGAGAACAGACACTGAACATGTATTGCGTGTGCCAGGTGTGATCCATGTGGGGGATGGGCACATAAGAGCAGGAAATGTGTCAAATTGTTCTGTGTGGGTGTGTGTGTGTGTGTGTGTGTGTGTGTGTGTGTGTGTGTGTGTGTGTGTGTGTGTGTGTGTGTGTGTGTGTGTGTGTGTGTGTGCCCTAGCATTACTATACTTGTGGGGACCTAAATCTGTTTACACGGTCACGTGTGGGGACTCGCCTCCCTTATGGGGACAAATTGGAGGTCCCCATGAGGGGAATCATTAATTTTAGGGTGAAGACTTGGTTAGGTTTAGGATTAGGGTAAGGGTAAGGGTAAGGGTAAGGTTAAGGTTAAGGGTAAGGGTTAGGGTTAGGGTAAGGTTAAGGGTAAGGGTTAGGGTTAGGCATGTGTTGGTTATGGTTAAGGTTAGGATAAGTCTCCAGGAAATGCATGTAAGTCAATGTAATGTCCCCTGAAGTGATGTATACATGGTATGTGTGTGTGTGTGTGTGTGTGTGTGTGTGTGTGTGTGTGTGTGTGTGTGTGTGTGTGTGTGTGTGTGTGTGTGTGTGTGTGTGTGTGTGTGTTTTATCTGATCCAGATGGTTACTAATTCCTTTTCTTTATGGCGGTCATTGAGAGCAAGAATACAATACAGTGTGTTTTTAGGACACTGGTACGTTGGTCATCTTCATCTGTCTTAATGTTGTCAAATCTAAAGAGTCTTGTGCCAGACAAAGTTAGCATTAGCTGCTACCATGGGTGTTACAAAGTTCACTAAATCATCCAAAATTCAATGAAAGTGGTGATCAGCAATTTCATATGTTCAAATGTCTACTGTGAAGGCTATCATAAAGCCTTCATGCAATCGAATGTAAAACAAAAAAGTTATGATTGATGAAAGTAGTAAATCGGTCAGATTTGACCCGAAGACAACAGGAGGGTTAAGTAGCTCTTTAACTTTCTCAAATAAGTAAGTTCAGTTTGTCCCGTTTGACACATAACAATGATCAGATAACACATGTTTATTTGGCTAATATTGTTCAAAATCGGTGAAAACAAGTAATTTACTTAATAATAGGTCATGAACTAAAGAAAGAGTTTGACTGATGAGGGTATCATATGGGAAAGTGAGTTGTGTAGTTTCTTTAATATTTCAATACTTTACTGCATCGACACAACTGTTAACCTATTGAAAAAAGCGTATTGATAAGCTGCTTGTTGTTGTTATTCAGTAATACAAAAATACACAATATTGTAATACATCCTGGCCCTTGGCGCCACAATTTAAAAAAGTTAAATGTAGGTTCAAACCAATCATCATACGGAACTGTGAGAAGAAATATCCTTGATCCGGTTCCACATAATTCATCATTAATGTTAAGCAATCACAATCACCCAGTAATAAACCCAACAGATGGAGTCTCCAAAGCAATCTCGTGAGGTGTTTGAAATCTTCCCTCGACGAAAGCTCAAGCTTTTACTTTGTGATCAATAAACTATCCATCTATGATACCTCTAACCTGGGGCCATTTGTAGCGGAGATCTAAACTCCAGTAGGTGTTTTTCAATCAAACATCAAAAAGAGCGTTGGTAGGGTCAAGCCTCAACATTTCCCTACTGTGAACTCTGACCCCACGGCTCAATTCAAGGCATTTTATGATCTGTTCAATACTCTGTGATCAATGTCAGTTAACTGGTTTTGTAAAAAAAGGCCTTCCTCTGAGAGGTCAAAGGTCACGGTGATTATGAGCATGCCATGAAGTGACCCCTCTGAGAAATTCCCCCTATATTTCTCCTCGACCCCGCCCAAACAAATATCCCGCAAGGTGCTGGGAGCCGCCTGTCATTGTGATTGATTGTCTCTAAATACAGCGGGGCCTGATCAGCAGTGGGTTTCCGTGGTAACTCGCAGCGGGCCATGTGTGTGTTTGTGTATGCGTCTGTAGGCTTTATTAAGATTGGTCGTTCTCATATACACCAGTCTCACCCTACAACCCCTCTCCATACCATGCAAACCCAAATATTGGTTCATCATCTGTTGCCAGTGTGTGTGTGTGTGTGTGTGTGTGTGTGTGTGTGTGTGTTGTGTGTGTGTGTGTGTGTGTGTGTGTGTGTGTGTGTGTGTTGAGTGTGTGTGTGTGTGTGTGTTTGAGTGTGTGTGTGTGTGTGTGTGTGTGTGTGTGTGTGTGTGTGTGTGTGTGTGTGTGTGTTTGAGTGTGTGTTTTCATGTCTCAGAGTGTGAGAGCAAGACAAGGGCTCTCAGCAATAAGCGACAGAAGGGAATATGTTTTCCTTTCCATTGCCAGGAGAATGGAAAAATGTGGGGTGTAATGACTCTATCCATGAAATGGGAGTTAAACCATAATAATCATTAAGGGGCGACCCCACACACACACACACACACTTACACAGACAGACACACACACACACATGGATAGAGATCCTAGTATCGCCAGCTGCTTTGTTCTGACTCATATTCCCTATGAAAACAGTTCACTGGAACACATCACACACCCACACATTCATACAGATGCAACAACACAAAGGCTAACGTGCTCAAAAATAGCTTGTTCTGTACTTTTAAAAGTTATTTGTTCTATTCAGTGCAAACAATCTCACCAAACAAGCACTTTTGTTCATGCATGTAATTATGGATGAGTGTTCCTGGGCCTGTTTCTCATTTGCACTGGCAGTGCAGACAGCAGTGTTTGGACAGTGAAGGGTTCCTCGTGGTCTCATCTCAATTTTAAGAGATGAGCACTAATGACTGCTGAGCCGCCGGCCTGACAGAGAGAAACACGCAGCTCTGCTCTTTCAGAAACACTACAGTACTATCAGGTCGCTCAGTGGTTTGTCTCCTATAGACTCTTTCTGTTCATACGAGTTTTGCTTAGAAAGGTTCCCCACACCAAGCTGACACCAAAGAACTCACACAGACGGACCCGACTGTTGTGTCGCCTCGCGTCTCCTGCGTCTTGGCCAACAGTCGCACTGGAACACACCGCAAAGACTTCAGCCGACGGCCAAGAAGCACGTACGTGAGTGGCAATAACTCTCCTCACCAGCAGGCGGCAGTAGTGTGTATTCGTCATTCAAAAGAGGCAATAACCGGAAGACAGGCTGTGTCTCAATTCAGGGGTTGTATCCTTCGGGGTACGCAGCCTACGCGGTCGACGCAGGATGCGGCCGGCGAGACCGCGTAGGCTGGACCGAGCGGCCTACGAAATGAGACGGTCTAGCCTACGGAGCGCTTCGTATTTACGTCACGTGATACGCGCTGTTCGGTTGCGTTGCTCCAGCAGCCTGCTAGCAAATTAGCTGAAAATGATCCAGAAACTTTACTTTTATGTTTTTTGGAGATCACCGTCGGAGATGAAATAAAGAGAACCATGGCCAGGTAAATAAGATGAAGCTGTTCCTTTAGCCCCCAGTAATGTTACATTAATAAGTTAACAAATTAATTAAATATAGCTGATGTAATTTAATCATATTATTTCATATTTAAAATAGGCCTAAGTCTTAATTTTTCTGTACTAATAAAACAATGTTTTTTAAAGGAACAAAAGCATGTTGTATAGATTGATTGTTAACAATATTAGTGTTCTAATCTTAATAGCTGTGATTATAACAGTTTATATTCTCCTTCTTCCCCTAAACCTGCCCAGATGATGTCCCACTGACCCCAGGTCAGCACCTCCAGGTCCAGCAGCACCGTGACCCCTCCTCCGCTCTGCTGAAATACACAATTAAACATTTTCTATGACCTATTTCTTGTTCAGGTTCAGGTTCAGGTTATTTATTTGTACCCGTAGGTAGATTCTGTTTGCAGAGAAAAAGACAAGGGTTCCATCCTGACACTAAAAATAAACACAAACAACAGACACATCTCTAATAAAGGACTAGTAAAAGTACAAGTACAAGTATACCCTGCTCAACCAAATCTCAAAACATTTTAAGAAGGAAAACACTAGTACAAACATGGACATTCAAAATTCACAATTAAATAAATAAATAAAAATAGGCATCTGTGTGACGCTCCTATGATGTGTTAATGTGTGCAATAGCTGCTGGGATAAAACTGTTTTTATACCGCTTCGTTCTACTCCTTGGGACGAGCAACCTCCGGCCCGAAGGAAGAAGCTTGAACTCTGAGTGCAGAGGGTGGGAGTCATCGTCTAATATGTATTAATAAAATTAAACTGAAGACAGTTTAATGACCTAGAGATATCCTATTATTCCACTGCTTATGTACACATGTTGTAAATAATCTTTAAAACCTCAGTAAATGAAATAAACAATGTGTTTAACAATTACAATTTAATATTGTATTTTCATCTTATCACAAAGTAGAGGTAAGAATATATCTATCCTCTCTCTGCAGCTTCATGTCTTCTATTATTATAACTTTCATCATTGAGACAGAGGAAATCAATCATGTTATTTAACATCACCAGCAGTAACACAAATATCAGCAAAAGTGTGTTTATGGAGTTGTTTATTTGTATTATATGTGCAACAAGTATATAGAAGCAGCTGTTTGGGGAATCAGACAGACTCAAGCTATAATCGTTAGATATCTATTAAAAGAAAGGACACATACAAAATCTAATTCTGAAAGTAAGACACAAGTGTGTAGGACGGCAGAAAGCAGAGGTCTGGGTGGAGGATGCTCCTGATCGCCATTTTGCTTTCTTCAGCACCACGGGGGGTCCAGCTGGATGGAGCTCTGTCCTGATGATCCGCTGGGGTTAGGGGTCCTTCTTCAGCACCACGGGGGGGCCAGGTGGATGGAGCTCTGTCCTGATGATCCGCTGGGGTTAGGGGTCCTTCTTCAGCACCACGGGGGGGGCCAGGTGGATGGAGCTCTGTCCTGATGATCCGCTGTGCACTTTTCAGATTAGGGGTCCTTCTCCAGCAGATCCATTTCTCTAGAATTGTCCTAATTACAGGGAAAGACAAGAGAAAAAGAAAAAAGTGAATTAATCATATTAAACACAGGGTTGCAAAAGTATTATTGCAAAATGTAACTAAGCATTTCAGACAAACAATCCTTAAGGGATCATTTAAAAATGATGTGCTGTTCTGGTTTAAAAAAACTAAAGAGATGAAATGACAGTCACACGTGCATCGCTTTGACAGCACAAACTAACATCAAGCTAAAGGATGCTGTCTATTTGTGATTGTCTTATTATTATGGGATTAGGATAAATTAAATAAACTTTAAACTAAATAAAAGATGATCAAATCTGGTGGAAATATTGAAAATAGGCTTTTCTTTTAGCCCTACCTCAAAGCAGCATGAGCTGAATACAAAGGTTGTAATTTTGTCCCAAAGTTTAATAAACAGTAAAACATTGGAACATGTCAGAAAAATAAATAAAGCTAACAGCAGCTACACCAGGGTTGCCAACTTTGGGTTCCTGGCTGGAGTGAGATTTTGATATCATGGGTTTAATTACACATATGCGCTCTAAATGACTGCTATCATGTCAGCAGCGGGACCTTAGCATATATATAGGATATATATACAATATATACAAATACACAATATTGGACACAGAGTATAAAGGGCACAAAGTTTCATTCACTAATGAAAGTCAAACACATGTTTTATTGTGTGCCTGTCGCGATAAGCAATTAATTGACTAATCGTACGATAAATAAAAATGAACTCGATACATTTCCATTTACATGAGGATGTGACTAGCAGTTTGAAAGGATGTACTTGAATTATTATTATATGTTATCATTATGTCAGTGGTCTAAAATGGTCATACAACGGTGCCGACAATATTTTCCGGGAAAATGTATCCAACAAAATTCATTATCGTGACAGGCCTATACATGAAACACACACACACACACAAATCTACAGACTTACTCCAAACTGCCAAATATATTAATTAACACTCTCACTCTCGTATACTCTTTGACTCTATTTTGGCCTAGTAGAACAATAAGCAGCCGACTTTTACTTTTTTATAATTTCTACTGGATCTTAGATCTGCGCATGCGCAATACGGGTCGGCAGTTGCGGCTCCAGAGGATTTGTGTTGGATAATCTATGGTAGGGCTAACCCATACAGCGGTGGGGCTCAAGTCAGTATTTGCAATGTAATTACATACACGCTCCCCTTGACAGTGAAACGCCACGCGTGAGGTTTAGATTATTTCCCTGTCTCAATCCAAATTGAACTGTATGAAATAAAAAGGCACATTTGTCTTGTAGTAAATAAAAAGGGCGACCTGGAGCCAATCCTGCAATTTCCCCACAGGTGAAAGAGTTGACCTGCTGAAAACCCAACCCCTGCAGGGGGGTCTGGGGGGATTCTCCCCCAAGAGATTTTTTGAAATACTAACATGAAATACACATTCTGGTACTCTCTTGAGAAGAAAAATAAATACATCTATTACTACACGACATATTTAAAAAATGAATGCCATTTTAGTTTTGTGTTACTTTGTTCTGAAAGCTGAACCTGCTGCTCCTCACAGAGAGAAGAGGGAAGAGGCTGTGAGTTACTTTACATTGTGGATAAGGGTGGATAGCCCCCATTGTTCTGTGTGTCAACATGAAAGACAGCCCACACACCTATCAATCATCAAACCGTGGGGTCTTATTTCATTACGTGTTGATTTCTATCAACACGTAATGTTGCATCGATGTATAGAGATGTACTACAGCAGAAGTATTCTCCGTCGGGACTTACACCGTTATCTTGATTCTGATTGGCCAGAAGACATTATCAAAGATGTTCTATTAAGAAGACGATCACTACGTGACAAAAGTTTTCAAACCCGTTTCTAGTCTTCGGTATTCTTGTTTTTGGCGTGAGAATAGTTTGGGCAGCGTGAGAGCGTGAGATTGAGAGTGAAAGCGTGTGTCACACGCCAGATGCGTGAGAGTTGGCAACCCTGAGCTACACGTCAGGGTAGCATTTTATAAATCCCACCGCACTGTAGGCTATACCGGTCTAAATGTTTTCACTTTGGTCTATGTATGTAATATAAAGTATAACTTATCTATAACAGAGCCAAGATCTCTGTATGACTTTAGTAAACTTCTGAATTGAATAACAAATAAGTGTAAACAATAGTGCAGTACGTCCAGCTAGCTAGTTAGCGTCACATATGTATCCGTATTATTTAACGAAAATGTACGTTGTAATGCCCCTTGGGTTTGACGTGTGTGACGTCAGTTCATTTAAAGTAAGTTAAAACCCAATACTCACATTTATTAGTGATTCCTCCGCTCGCGGCTGCTTTTAAATCCACTCTGCTGGGGAGACCGGAAGCCATTTCATTTGAAAAAAACTCCCTCTTCCCTGCGCGCATTGCATCCTGGGATATGGTAGGTCGCGGAGTGTACATCAGATGTATCCTTCAAATTGGGGAAAAGTAGGCTGCATTCGTGGGCCGCATTCGGAGGAGTCTCGTCTTTTTTTTAATTGGGACAGCCTTCTTTCGGCGGAAGTGACGTGTGCGGTCTACGAATGCACCCTTCTAAGGATGCAACCCCTGAATTGAGCCACAGACTGCGTGATAACCGAGAGAAGAGGAACAGACTGCGTGATATAAACAAACAACAAAAAGCGTGTGCGTTCCATTTTCACTCTACAGCGAGAAGCTCACGGGGCTTTCCCGAACCTGTGTCGAGAGCTGGAGTTAAATGAAAAGTTAATAGTTTGTTTGGGTCCCTCACTTCCGTTTTGCTTCTCATGCACTGATTCGCTAAGCTGAACAGCCAATCAGAGTGATTTATTTGGCCGACTGCCTTTGGATTTTCTGCCAAAAAGGTGTCGGCTTGGTGTGTCCGGGGCTTTAGCGATACTTGCTAATGTAAACACGGACCATATTACTTCCAAAACACGTCACGCATTTCAGTAATGACGTCAGCAAATCTAGATCAGCTCCATTGTACCCCTGTTTTTAGACATGTGGGTTTTTAGACATGTGGGTTTTTAGACATGTGGGTTTTTAGACATGTGGGGTTTTAGACATGTGGGGTTTTAGACATGTGGGTAAAGAGCAAAAGAGAGAGGGTTTTATTTCCTGACACTTTGTGATTCTCCTTACACACCAGGGACACATATTTATGTATAAAACACATCAAAAGGTGCATTTTACATAATAGGTGACCTTTAAAGTGAAGCATTATTCAGCCGTCCACGGAAACAACCAATCGTGTACTGTAGATGCAGATCATGAAAGTTATAGTACTTATTACACATTTTCCTTATTATTCCACAACTAGCCAATGTGCTATAAGTTTTGAAGTTTCAACAACATGTTAAGTTAAGACCATTACAGCAAAATGATCAGTCACGTTTGAAAGTGTTTAATGATTTGAGTATTTTAAGTGTTTTAAGTTCAACATGTTTGGATGGTGATATGTACAGAAGCAGATGTGTAGGCGTAACAAGTTATGAATATATTACATGAAGTACAATGTGGAATATGTGGAATAGTATGAATGGAGAGGAGGGAGATAGTTTCCTTTCACTTTTACTTTAATTCCAACCTTAAATAAAGTATTTTTTTTCATTGAAGTCGATGTTTAGAAAGCCTCCTTGAAACAACAGTATTAAACGCATGGGGCGAAGTATCTGATGCACTTTCAGTAGTCAATCCAGGGACATCTTTAGTTTTACCACGATACAAATCAGTAACATCCACAGACACAATCGAAGGACGTCTCCCAGTGTAAGTCTCTTTTCCTAAATGTTCCTCTTTTCCAGATGAACTCTCCTTCACATCTTCCCTCAACGCCATGATGTTTTTCACTTGGGCTGTGGAAAGTGGTTAGGAAAAGACACAGAACCTGATTTGTTTGACAATCCAACCCACAGCAGTCTGTTTTAAGTCCACTTAAAACTCTTATCTGTTGCCATGAATGCTGGTGGTCCCCTGAGTCCTTCTGTCTTTCCTTATGTCTCTTTTCAGTCTCTTGTTTCATCGCAGCTGTCCACTTTTCACCCCCACCCATTCTCTCTGTACCCCCGCCTACTTGTCTTTCTGTCATTGTAACCTTCACTCTCTGTCTGTCTGTGCCTGTCAGTCTCTCCTCTCTGCTTTTCGCTTTCATCATGGCTCTGTTTTTCTGCCGAGGTGAGTGTTGATAGCTCCCATATTTTTCTCTCAGACCTTTTTTCTCTTCTGCTACTCTCGTCTCGTCCTCCCTGCCCCCTGTCTTCCCGTCCCTTGTATCCTCGCCTGGTCTAAATCAGACGACACATCATATTGGACTACAGCATATTGCCTTTTCCTTTTTTTTTTAAAACCACCGTGCTTTCACAGTGGTGTTGTCATTATCTCTGGCCATTTTCAGGTCAGCCAGGGATGACACACTGTGCTTCAGCGAGGCAGAGCCTCACCTGTCATACTCCAATGGAACGGAAAAACAACTAAATAGTAATAATAATAAAATGTCTCCACTGATCTGTGTTGTAAATGTGATTTCTGTATGATTCCAATCGCTTTTTATAGTCAAAATCAGCAAATTTGCCGAGCTCCGCTACAACTACGGGTAGCGATGAGAAGAGAGGCAGGGACGAACTCTGCCTCACGTAAGCCCACAGTAACTGGCTGGAGCGCGGGCACTAATTTAACGCGGGCACTTATTTTGTGAGCATTTTTCAAGCCAGTTACTGTGGGGTGAGATCTGCCTCACCTCAGAATGCGTCACCCCACAGAAACTGGCTGGAAAGCGGGCCCTCAGCGCATGCCTGCACCATCTCACTGTATGTCACCAATGTAATGTTTGTAGATCCCTTTATTACATTTATCCTCGCCATCCATAGTCTCTAAATAACTTATTTCACGTATATATGATATTTAGGCTCGCTGGTCTCATCATACAACGGCAATGAAAAAAGCACCAGGGGAGGCAGCCACAACCTCTGCCGCACTGAAGGGGGCGCAAGTGAGCCCACAGGTTCTTGTTGCTACTGTTATTCTACACAGAGACGGTAGACACAAACAACAAACTAGACTTTTGAAACTAGAGGAAGATACGGAGGACTTTTACAAAAAAGTAATGGAGATTGTTGTCCAGAAGGATAGCATGGACTTCATCTTCAGGTCAAGGTAAGACCACAATTGTAATGAAAATGGGATCTTACTAAGAAAGAACAATCCAATATTTAGATTGTGGGTATCCTTTTGTTGAACAGTCTGTTTAAAATGAATCGAAGCATCAGACTAAAAAAGCTTTTGAAAATAACCGAATATTTCGATTAAGGTCAAAATATAATATTTGTAAATCTGACTCTGAAAGAGTCAGTGCCTCACCAGCCATGAACCTCACCACACGTCACTGCTGTGCTTGCACTACCCAACTCAACAATGTAAGAACAACAGTGTATTATATGATATAATAGATGTGTGTCCACCATATATTTGTAATACATCTATATTCCGATGTACTGTTGTTATGAAAAACTGACTTTCTTATGGAAGATTTGGATTGACATAGTTTTTGCATCTGAAAGTATGTAATTCCCCTAAAATACATCTTTATCAGGCTTCTTTACCATAACAATAACCATTAAAATGTGCTATAGAGTGCCACAGTGACGCATCCTAAAACCCGGAAGTAAGCTGCGCATGGGTTCATAAATCTAATCGATTCGAAAATTATAAAAGTAGGGTAGACATGTGGAGATTATCCGACTGAACAAAACGTGATCCGTCTCTTCAATGTGTCTCAACCGCTGACCTTATTTCCAGCTATTTTCCAAAATCCTATGGAGTAATCTCATGTTTTAGGATGTGGCACTCTATTAATATACTAATTTGTAAGGCTGTCACAATAGCTGATTTTTACTACAAGATTATCGTAATGAAACGACAATGATAATTATAATGAAATGCTTCTGACCAAAAAAAAGCTAATAATCCTGTTGCTTTTATGTGTGTATAAAATATAAATGATTGACTTGAAAAATGTGGACATATTGTATTTAAAGTTGGATAAACTCTGGGTGTTTCTCAATGTCGAGGAAAGCTGCTCCAGAGCCACTATTTCAAGGATGCTACGTCATTGAGTGCCGCCGAAGGACTGTTCCAATGTCCAGCATACTTGGAATTCTACCGAGGACGGCGTCCTTCGTTGCGGGAAATTTCGAGGCTGCACATGTGTATCCTCCATGGCCTTAAAATCCCCACAATGCTTTGCGCACGGAGCAATTTCCAGATCTTTGGCGGAAATCGCGCTCCATTTAAGGCGGGGCCTCACACATGACGCACACAGCCTGTTCCACCATTCTTCGTTTTCCGAGGCTAGGAAGGATTCTTGCATCGCTTCTGAAGGACCTGACTCTGAGGGACTCGTCCTACCAAGGAAGCGTCCTCGACATTGAGAAACACCCCCTTACTAGCTGTTCCCAAAATGATGCTATTTGTGCTGTAGCCAGATATTTAACACACATATATGATATCAATCTTCTTATGGAATGCTCCCGGACAAAGCTATGAAATTATTATTTTTGTCCAAACTAATTAGTGCAATTGTTTTGTTTTCCATGTATTCTAAATACTTTGTTTAATTTATAGGATAAAGTAATTATACAGATTTCATTTTGATATCATAATGAAACACATACAGACATAGACATATATTGATGCAATATTCCAAGCCAACAACAACAGCAATGAAAGTCACTCATTGTACATAAACAAACGGTAAATCGGCATTTAATGGGTACGGAATTATTTTCTTAGCAAAAGTAGCCAAAGCCAACCCATTCCACTCTTAATTCTCCATTGAATCATATTCTAAAATGCACGTGTTGGGTTTCAAGCATTTTTTTTTATAAACACTACCCAACTGCTTCCAAGAATACCAAATAAAATGTGAAACCTAATCGGTGAGTCTTAGTCTCTGGACCGTGACTGTGAACACCAAGTAATGTCATCAGTGGATATGTACGATATGTACTCGTCCAAAGTCCATCATCATTGTCGGGCGAGCAGTGATTCCTGCCTGGCTCTTGTTCTCTTGGATCCCAGGAGTTCTGTCAAAAGTCTAAATAAAAGAATATACTCTGCCGGTGTGTCCGTGTCTGCCTGATGTAGTCAGAGCATTTAGTTACACTCCTCTCTCCAACATACAGCCAGTAGAAAAACAGATCCTTTATGAAAATCCAGGACAGATCGCACCGTGACAGATTCATCAACATCAGCCTCGTAGATTGAGCCAATTGTCTTGCTATGATTTGATGGCTTCCATATGAGTGGTGTCCTCTTATATTGTAATGGAAACTGCAATCAGGATCGGTGTGTGAACGATGGCTGACATCCTGCCATGAGGCACACTGGAGCATATGGAGAAAAAACTGTGAACAAATGCACACCTGTACGCTTTTACATTCGACTAAACCCAGAGAATAGTTTCACACATACGCCAAAACG